ACTATTATTATTATTACTATAATTATAAAAAAAATTATATATATATATATATAAACCTAGAGGGCCGAGCGTCCATCAATTATTCCCCACCCTTCACTTTAACCTCGGCAGCGAGAAGAAGAAGGAAAAGAAAGGCGAGGCGGCACTCCACTCCACCCTCCCCGCAAGACCAAATCCATCGCCACCCATCTCTGCAGGGAGAAGCTAGTTGGGGTCACAGTTGCATCATGGATAAAGGTGGAAGCTAGCGGCAGTCGTCGGGTGTTGGAGCCAATCCCCTAATGCCCAGTGAGTATCATGGTCGGGACAGCTGAGAGAAGCAACCGCTTCTCCTTGCCTTTGGTATTTCTTAGGTAGGCTCGTCCAAGAGAATAAATCCAAAAACAAGATGGAAGCGGTGGGTGAAGCTTGATCGATGATGGTATAACGCCAACCACGTGGGCCTATCTCAAATTCAGTCCCCCTTTTGGTGAAATAAAGGTTGACGGTCTGGTGAAGGTAAGGACTCTATCTAAATAAGGCTTCTGCAATGTGATATGGATTTGGGGATATATGTATTAGAAGCACCTGCTTAGAATGGACCCATCATTCTCGGTCAATAAGATTACAAGACATAAATCATTAATTAGATGAACTATTTGGATGCTAGCATGTTGCGCTAACAATTAGAAGAATTAGTGGACGTGAGAGCTTTCCCACTATTCTAAACAAATGCTCGTTTAGGGTAACACAAGATAATAGGTGAATGATTCGATTGGTGGGGGCGGCTGGTGACTGTTCATGGAGATAGGTTATACGTATGAAAACAAGTGGGAGTTTATGGATGGGCTAAAGGGTTTGATTGGTATTATTATAGCTTGGGAAAAACCATGCATAGTCACTTGATGTGGTTGTGGCAGGGTCTTACGTGATGAGAAGATGGTGGTTTGGAGAACCGTGGAGTGAGCTACAGATTTGGCTAAGTGCTATACTGGAGGTGAATTCAAGTCAGTGGGTTTAGTACGAGGTGAGTGTAAAGGAGGTAAAATCTCTGCCGTAGGTATTTTAGTTTTCTTTTCGTTCAAGCTATTCATTAGTTAATTTATGAGTTTGCGCGATATGTGTGTGAGGCACCCCACCGCCTGCAAGGGTGGAGGCACGCGTTGTGCTATGTATGAATGTATGATTGTAATAGTTGGTTGATGGTATGAGGAACCCCCGAGCAGTTGGGTCACTACTGGATGGCGAGACGTAACACAGTAGTTGACGAGCATGGACTGGACGGCAAGGCGTAACGCAGTGCCATTGTCAAGTTCGAGTATGCAACCAGACGGCGAGACGTAACACGGTTGGCATACTAGGGTAGGAAACCGGACGGCGAGACGTAACGCGGTGGTCCTAGTGTTTTGTGTTTGAGTTAAGGATAGAAGGCGAGCACTCTTAGGAGTTAATGTTGAAATGAGTTGATAAGAATGGTTATTTAAGAGCAGAAAGCGAGAACGGCTTTCGTGCTAGGAAGGCATTCCCCTAATAATGTGTTTAGTAAGGAGTTTGCCTAGGGCAAAGACCTTAGAAAGTAGCGACGAGACTGACCCCTTCTCACTCACCAGGTTGAGGATAGTCTAGCAGAAGTAGATCACGAGAAGAAACAGGGCGGGCGAGCAGTAGTACCAGCGTCGACGGGATATCGGAGAGCTCGTGAGGAGTCAAGTTAGATTAGTTAATTATTTTGGTTCATGGTTATTTGTATAAACTGGAGATTCTGTGTTAAGTCATTTTAAGTGTTTGAGATTGAGAATTTTTCCCAAGTGTTGGGGCTTTTCGTTAAAAATTCTTAAATGATGTCGGTTTGGTTATTTTAAAATGTGCTTTGGGTTGCTCCGGAGTAACCGGTTTTTGGTTTGAGTTATGGTTTGGTTTTTGAAAAGAGACGGGACGTGTCACGGGTTCATCCGGTGTTTCATGCCTCCCTGCACCGGCCATGCCACTCACCAGCTCCAACGCAGTCTACAGTTACTCCTCCTATCGGCGACGATGGAAATCTGCTCCTGCAGCCGCAGTCAATCCTAGACACCGACTATACTAGCTGCGGCAACCGCTAGGTCGAAGAGCTCTTGCTCAAGTGGCAACAACTTCTCGCGGATGAGGCTACCTGGGAGCTTGCTTCAGTGTTCAATGACTGCTACCTCCAGCTTGGCCTCGAGTACGACTCCGTTGTTCAACTGGGGGGTTTTATGAACCACGCGGCCCACAACGTTCAGCTCAATCCCACCAGCCCAATCCACGATACCGGGCAGTAGTCCACGTAAGAAGGATCCGCTGCAGCTTGCCAATAGTTATATGTTTTTATTTCATTATTATTATCTTTGAGTTTCAGAGTTGAACAAGTCCTGGGAGTCTGTTAGTTGTTAGCAGAATAATCACATTCCACATTAGGTGGGACATGGAGTTAGAGTCCTGCTAGGTTTGTAGGCATTTCTTGTTTCGCTTTGAATGGCCTTATAGGAGAGTACGTGAATGGAATAAGGCAAGCAAAATTTGAACAAACAAAACACCTGGTATTTTCTCGCCACGAAAGGAGAAATTGGCTCAATCCTGCCAAGAAAAGGGATCCATTTAATCATTCAATTTTGATCCTTATCAAAATCATGTTTCTTATTACGTTTCCTATTGTTTTTCCGTTTTCGTGGCATGAACAAACATATATGTACCAACTCCATATTCCTTTTTCCTAGCCCTTCAGCAGGAATATAGAGCTTTCCAATTTTACAACGACTACAAGTTTTCTGTGGCTGCTGAACATTAGAGTGGGGCGAAGTCAATTGCATCAGAATGACAAATATTAGGAGCTGCAGATGATTTTTGTGATTGTGAAAAGGGTGAAGGAGTCAAGAAGGTAGATTCATAATCAAAGGCAGGCCCTTTGGGCCTCGTCATGGGACAGGGGTAAATTTCGGAGGAAAAAAAATATCTCATTTATATTTATATTGGTGGTGGAACACAACACCTATAGCTGGTATGAGAGTATTTTATCACTACAACGCAACTCATTACTTGTTCATAGATTGACTTAAAATTAATTTATTATACTATAAACGAAATTCCAATTTAAATAAAATTAATTTATTATACTATAAACAAAATTCCAATTGAAATAAAGACCTTATTGGATCTCTTTTCTGCTTATGCATATTCGATTCTTCCCAACAACCTTGAAATTTTCTAGCGGCAACGCAAGTCCACTAGTATTGGTTATAATGGAATGAAAAGTGATGGGTTGCATAGTTTTATACAGTTTGTGCATAATGATCACAAAATATGAACCGCATGTCGCCTCTAGATATAGTATAAAGGACGACTCGTAGTCCTTGAATTAATAAAGCTTGTAATCAACCATGTAAAAAGAAAAGGGGATGATATATATTATCCCCATATAGGACCAACACAATAACGAAATCGATAATATGGGACAATAGTTTGTCCCTTGAAATAATGTTTAGGGTTCGACTTATTGTCGTTGAAGTTGTAGCTATAGGGATGGCATGGTGTCTTTCATGTAATTGGAACTAGATGACAACTCATGAGTATCAGCGATGAGTGTCGTTCCTAGTCAATGTTGTCAGAACCGAACCGGAGTAAGACCCGGTAATGTGAATGGCTTGCACTTTAGTGGTCTAACCGGTAGTGGGCCGTTAGAAAATCGTTAGAGAACCGGTACGTTATAAATAATAATATTATAAATAGAAGACATCTAAGATAGTAATTTAACAATTTAATTACTAAAGTAATATTTACATATACCAGTTTGTAATTTTATATTATATATAATTATATTTTATATATCCACCAAGTAAAAACCCTAAAGCCTACACTCCATCCTCACCCACTAAGTCCTACCTTAGCGGCCTCCCACTTCCTCTTGTGGCTCTCTCTCTCTCCATTATTCATGCCTGGAATTGGTTTGACAAATGGAGTTCCCGATCTGGGGAGTCGTAGCAATTGGCGATGAAGGCGGTGACAGTGGCGCCACATCTCTCTCTCTTCGATCGACTATTGCTGGTTGTGGAGAGATCTGGGATCGCTGACGACAGGAGGTGGTGATAACGAAGCAGGGTAGCGGACGACGATGATGATTATGCAATGAGAAGATCCTTCCTGTTCTCTGAAGATAAAGCAGATCAACCGAATCGAGGATCGAAGCAAATGACCAACAAGTGCATAGACTGGTCTACTTGGGATTTTTGGTTCTCCGATTTGGGGAAAATTTTCTTCTTCTTTTCATTCAGAACGCAGTAGCTAGAGGTGGTTGTGTTGGGATCAGATTTGAACCGGCTGGTCGGTTCAAATGGTTCGAGCGGTTAACCATTCAGACCGCTAACCAACCGCTCTTTCTAACCGTTGCGGCTTTTAAAGTGTTTCGGACTGAGTGCAGGGTGATGGTTTTATCGGTCCGACCGGCTGGCTCGGCTCGGTTTTTACAACACTGTTCCTAGTACTGGGGAAGATTTAGATATTTTTTCATCTAAAAAAATAGAGAACACACATATACGACACGAAACATAGAGGACGACATAGTCGTTCCCAAAAACTATGAAGACGATTTTGCCTATTTTTAGGGATGACTTTCATCGTTGCCAAACCTATTATATTTTGTAGTGATACGCACTTGGCTGTGTAATATAAAGTCGTATTCATCCTATCCTATCGAGTAATTATATATTATATGGAACCTCAAAAGAAGTTAACTCGATCATTTTACATCCTCCCTGGTTTCATAACATATCCATCAATGGATTGAAGTAATCATATATACCTTCTTGTTGGGTGTTGAAGAAAAACTTGAAATATTTTTCTTTGTTGACTTGCTCGCTTTTGTTACGACTCATGTGGACTGGAGTAGTTTTGTTTGCTGTGCGTTGGAAAATGTCAAAATAGGAAGGAGCTCATTTTACTCTTAACCAAGGGAAAAGAGTGGAAGGAATTATCAGAACATATAAAGAGTGGGCATCCAAAATAATCGGATCTCCTAAAAAATTGTAATCTCATGATGACCCCGCAAATTCTTTTAAGCCATCCAAAGAGAAGCGAAAAAATACCCAAAAATTCTAAATAATCATTGGTCTTATTTTGCCTTTGACGAGGAAAAAAGACTATTTTTTTTGTTTTCATTTTATTAATTTCAAGGAGTGGTATCTGAGGTAGTAAACATACTTAGCCAGCCAATTACCCCTAATATCATACAACCTCAAACATACATTACCCATAACGCAATATAGTATAATTTTTTCACTTAGATTATTGTACAAAAGAGTTTGGAGGATAAAAGAGAAAGGAAAAAATACAACAGGAAGAAGAAAGAAAGAAGATGTCGTTCACTGGAACTCTTGATAAGTGCAAAGCCTGTGACAAAACTGTTTATGTTGTTGATCTCTTGTCCCTTGAAGGAGTGCCATATCACAAATCCTGCTTCAAATGCAGCCATTGCAAAGGCACATTGCAGGTGATTTTGAATCTTCGTTTTTTTTTCTTTATTATTTATTTATATTGGATTTATCTTTTCCCCTCTCTTTTCCTTCTTCTCTTTTAAACTATAAATATAACAAGAATTCTTTTGCATGGGGCGTTATGTTTTGGTTAGATGAGCAATTACTCCTCTATGGATGGAGTGTTGTTCTGCAAGACTCATTTTGAGCAACTTTTCAAGGAGTCTGGAAATTTCAGCAAGAATTTTCAAAGTGGTAAGAGAGAGAGTACTCCTGTCATTTTCATTATCCATTATTTCTTATCTTATATGGGAACAAAATTTTCTGACACTATGTGTTTTATATTTTCCTTGTAATATAGCTAGCAAATCTGAGAAGCAGAGTGACCTGGTACACCACACATCCTCCTCCTATTTACCACTTTACTAATTAATTACTACATGCTCAATAAGTTTGTTTTAGAGGTTTCTGGGTTGCCTTTCAAGGAGACCCAGACACATCCCTTGTCCAATTAGTTTTTTCTCCAATTCAATTAGTTTCATGGACTGCGAGTATTTGAGTTTTTTATTTAGTAAAAAAATGAATTTTTTGAATATGTTGCCATCCAAGTTTCACTACGTTGATGCATTCCAATGCAACTAACCTAAAATCGATGTTTGAGAATGTTGAATTCAACAAACATTTTATGTGATAATGATCAAGCTCCGACAAAATCTATCTGATTGAAGGGTCTTTCAATAAAAAATGGAGATACTTTTTTATTACACATGTGAGCAAGAGTTATTTTTAACTTTACTAATTTACCACAAATTTGTTACTGTAATTAACAGTTAAGGACGCCCAGCAAACTGTCTTCTATGTTCTCTGGAACTTTGGACAAATGCTCGGCCTGTACCAAAACTGTTTACCCACTTGAGAAGGTTTGTCTCTCTTTCTTACTACTCCATAGACTCTCTCTTTCCCTAAACCTTTACACATATATTCTATTGATGAGTCCATATCTTTGTCCCCTTAAGGTGACAATGGAAGCTGAGTGTTACCACAAGACATGTTTTAGGTGTGCCATAGGAGGTTGCCACTTGACACACTCATCATATGCTGCCCTTGATGGTGTCCTCTATTGCAAGCACCATTTTGCTCAGCTGTTCCTAGAGAAGGGAAACTACAACCATATCCTTCAAGCTGCTTCTCACAAGAGATCTGCCTCTACTCCCCCACCGGAGGCTGTTGAGGGCGAAGCGGAGGAGGCCACCACCGGAGATGGAACAACTAAGCAAGAAGGAGAAGACAATGATGGCAAATGAGGAACAAACCATTAGATTTTATACTATACCCGGCCACCCACCCACACATAAATATATTTATAGTACCACATTAAAATACAAAAACGTAATATGGACAAATCACTTATATACACTCATAGTTCCTAAACTCTATACTCAGATCTTATGAAGCGTGCTTTGAGGTTCCACTCTTTATATTACCGGTTGTTGGCTTCATTCATCATCACCTTGACCAACAATCCACTCACCCATCACATTCTTTTGCTATTTTTCTACTTTTTAATTTTTTCATTGTTAATTTTTTTATGGTTTGGGTTGCTTTCCCAATTTCCACAATTCAAATGTCCTTCACAATTTTGTGCAATGTACCAAAATCTTATGTTGCCTATGCTCATATATTTTCCTTTTTCGGTTATGGAAAAGGTTGTCAAGCATATGTGCTGGATGTGAATACTATTTTTACTTGTGTTGGTTTGGCAATGATTGCTAGTATATTAGCAAAAGGGAACAATATGGTTTCTTATTTCACTTGTTTCACAAACTAGATTCAAGATCGAATTCTACATAAAAATTCCATTTATAACAAATTTATTATGGAAGTTTGGATCGATAAACTAGTTAGTAGTGACTGGAAAATTCTTAGCTCCAATGCTGGTTGGACGCAGAAGCTCCAACTTGTCACATTTCAGTTTACTATTAGTGAATTCATCTTTTTTTATATTTTAATTCTTAAATTTATTTATCAAAATTAAGAACATTAAATATTAACTAAAAGGAAGGTTAATCCACCAATAACAAACTGACCTGTGGCAGGTTGAAGCTACTACATCTAACCAAGGTTGGAACTAAGAATTTCCGTAGTGACCTAATGGTCAAGATGCCAAAATCCAGGCTTTATGAGTTATAGAACACGACATTGATGGCTTTAACGACAGACAATAGGTACAATTTATAAGCATAAAATTTTGAGGTTCTATGGATGCTTTTCCAAGTCAATATGATTGCATATTTAATTGAAGTATCTTGCATGTATTGATAACTTAGATTTGTTTTTTGATTGGGTGAGATTGGAAATTAAAATATCATCACAATCGAACACCAATTGATTGAACTACCCCGACTTCTCAAGAGGAAAATGTGTAGGACCCATTGTAGCCTATTAGATCTAATAATCGTTAGACATATGATAGGATGAAATTGCATCGCATAATCGTTAGACATAAATATGATCTAATTGGAAAACCACTTGAAGTATAATGAAATAGTAAATCTTTAGAACTCCACATCTCTAGAACCAAATTATAATTCTCACAAAATAACCATAAAATAATTTCTTTTAAAAACATGGAATTTTGAAATAGAATATGAAGCATACAATAATTTTTCATAATTGGGAACTCAAGATCTTTAGAATTCATCGGCTACCAATATTCATCTTTGGACGAGGAGAGTAAAATTTATATGGTCAATGACTAATTGTGGGAAATAAGATGTTATATTTTCCTACTATTTAGTAGGTGTAGATGGCGGAGACAATATGTGCAGCGATGAATGATGTGAGAGAGGGAAAGTTGCTATTGAAGGAAGAATGACAATTGTGTTGACGTATTAGAAGGAATGAAGGGTCGGGTTTTGGACGATTAGAAATGAGAGGAGAGTGTTTAGTGATTCCATGTCTGTTTCTTTTCTTTATTAAATTTCTGTTTAGTTGTGATTGTGGTCTCCTTATCTTTGATCTTGTCATCTTCTTTCACAAAAATTTCCATCTTCCCTTTAGATGCATCATGAAAATCATATTCTTCATATTTATGTATTCCTATTACTTTTTCCTATAGCTTCTCAAATCTGGTGGCTTGCGGAGTGGAGACACCTTCTTCTTGCCCCTTGTATTGAGGTTGATTGCCAAATCCAGGTAGACCTGAATTATTTTGCCAATGTGATTCATGAATATAGGGGGCATTGGTAGAGGTGATGTTGGGATAGTCCTCGGGCTTCTTACTACTAGAGCAGGCCATTGACCATACGCTATGCGAGGTTGGTTGAATCTTTGGTAAGGAGGGTAGCTTCCTTGTTGAGGTCTCAATCGATAACCTTAATTTGTATAATAGACATCAATATGGTGTTGTCGTATAGTGGCAATCAAGGTCGTATTTACCTGGGTCTTGCTCCCTAGCCTACGTCCCACCTTGTTGTTATCTAGCAAATGGGTTTAAGGCTTTGTTTTGGAGGATATGAGCAAACTACTAGTTAAGAGAAAATAAAGATTAAAGTAGGTACTTCGGGGAACTATCCCTCACCCTAGCCTACGACTATTATGCAATATCTAGATATTTAGGGTTTGTTGAATGTGGTGACTGAGCTTTTTTCCATAGGATTTCGTGGTTATCTACATGCCTCCGAGTACGTGATACGCTACGACACAACACCAAACTACGACCAAGTATAATCATAGAATGGAAATGCAGAATAGTGGGTAAGTTTTACTTATCAACCTGGGGCCTACATTTACTGCCTACTTCGTGATAATCTATTATCTAGCGGGGAAAGTTGAGTGAAGTGCTCAAAGCAAATCAAACAAAAAGCAGTGCGTGTGTTGATTTTCAAAGTCAAGAAGGAACAACTCAGGTAATATTCCCCCTAGCCTGCAGTTAAGTCGAGTTGTAATTCACCCAGTTCAATTCATATTAGATTTATACTACAGAAGATCCGAACCTAGCTTGGAATATCTTAAGCTGACCAGGCCCTCTCAGACACGTTACATGGTATACGACTAACCTTCATCGAGATAAAGTGCTAAGGCAATAAAAACATATCTCCTTTACTTGAATTAATCCAAGTACAGAGCAATAAATCAATTGACTCTCGCATAATCGATTCACCACTTCCAAATAATGATGCTCTATTGACCTCTTCAGGTTATATCGTTCTAGGTCAAAGCTGGAAACATACAAGGGTAATCAAGAATCATAGATTTCTGAATAAAGCTTTAATTGGATATATAATCATCAATGTACCGAAGAGGGTTCATACAACTGCTCCTAACATGCAAAACTAGGGTTTGCATACCCAAGTGGTACATGGGATTACTCCATAGAGAGAGGAAAGCCATGTCGGATGTAGAAATCATCATGTAGATGGAATAAATCTGCTCCGGGTTGTCAATTGTCACTCCTCGAGGCTTGAATCGAGCTCCAATGATAGGAATCTTGATATAGGGCATTCAAGCTCGTTTTTCATCACTTTCTCCCTCTAAACCTCTGTTTTCTGCTCCAAAACTCCAATCCCCTTCCTTTGACTCGAATCTGCCTATTTACCTCGATACTGGGCGAAATGCGGGCAAGAGCACAGTCGTGCTTCCTCTCTGACCATGGATTGACCAAACTACGCATTTTGCTTAAGTTGGAACAGAAAAATCCACGGTTGCATCTAGGGTAAACACCGGAAGTATTTTTAAAGTAATGGCGGCAATTAGTAAAGTACAAACGTGCTTTAGTCATCACCTGACCGTAATTGGATTTCCTTCAGCATTCTTTTGGGGCCAACCTCGTCTTTAAAAATCTGAGAGAGTCGTTGGTGAAACACGATCATGTTTTAGGAAGGATTGCCCGTAATTCAAATCTAAATCATTACCACTCTAGGAAAAATAAACACTAGCAGCCATCAAGTGAAACACGATCGTGCTTCAGGAAGGGGACGATGGTATTTTGTCTCCAAACGACCCGAAACTTGTGCCTAAACAGCACAACCTAGCATAAAATAGGCCAAGGAACCATAAATTCAAGCCATAACGATTAAGAAACAAGGATGCAAACATGTGCAAATACGATGCTATCAAATTCCCCCACACTTAACCGTTTGCTTGTCCCCAAGCAAACCAAGTCAGACACAAGGTAAGCTCAAAACGTTTTAACCATGCAAACTTTGGGGACATATCATATATGCACAAAACACGTGAATCGTACTGGCTTTTAGACATCAACACATGAACAACAGCAACAACAACCTAGACAACCACCACATAAGACAATCGAGTGCAACGAAATAGGGTAGAGGAAGAGTCTCCCTATGATTCACCGATCAACATAGACTGGACACAACCACTCATTCAAAATAGTAACATCATGCATCAAATTCAAGACATCATAATCAAGACCGAGCAATCTAGGTCTTCACCGGGGTATGTAGTATGAAAATTGAATCACTCAATCTCAACTAGTGGGGTCAGGAAAATTTTGATGCAAGATGTATGCATACTCGTACTCTCAATCCATAACGTATCTTCACCATGATGGCAGCCTCGAAATGCTAGAGTTCACATATCGAGTGTCACCACTAACTTGTCCGGAGGTCTTAGACACGAGTTCAGATGACTCGCTAGGGTCTTGCACATGGGGAAAATACCTTTTAGGTGGTGGAAGAATTCATTTCACAAGGTTTCATAGTTCCAAGATTAAGATAGCCTCATTCATTAAAACCCTTTACCTTCTCTTTGATATTCTGCATTAATCAAGTTCTTTAGAGCAGAAGAGTGAAGGGGCTCACTAGGGGATATGACACACCAGGACAGTCAATTTGGCCACGAGGTAATCCTATGCCTTCATCATTCTAACTAGTGGCAACGTGAATGCTACACATCATGGAAGAGGGATCTATCGAACAAGAAAGAAAGGAGTAGGCTCAAATCTCACATGGCTACCTATATCCTCTATCTCTCATTCTTATTCCCTAAACTAGATGTATAAAAGGTGAACTGAAGCCATGGATCGCGAACTAAACAAATGAAGCGGTGTGTTTGGGGCTACAATCCCGGCCAGATTTCACGACCGTGAACTGGGACAGCGAACTGGGCTTGATCAGTGTACAAAAGGAGAGCTGAAAGGAAGAAGAGGGAGAGCCCAAAGTGAGAGAAACCTTTTTCTTCTTGAAACCCTAGAGATAGAAAGCCACGAACTACGAGTTAGAAGAGGCTAGGGTTTCTCCAAGTCAAGATTTGGCAAGTTCCTTTTCAAGAGAGGACTTCTACACACACAGAAAAGGATTGAGGCATCACAATGATGGTTTTTCCCCTTTTCCTTTGTATTCTTCCTTCTTCTAGCCTGGAGTAGTCTCCTATTCACTTGGGTGTTGTAGAACCCTATCTTCTACCATGTAGTTGATTGTGTGGATTGAATGTTTGTGTGTGGGTGATGTTTAATTTAAGATTTGAGGTATTGTTCATGATGATTGTGCATTGTGTGTGCTTGGAAATCTATTGTGCTACTCTAAACTAGCTTAGAGAGAAACCCCCTTATCTTAAGAGGCTTAAATTGAGCTGGGTCTTCTTAGGCATTCCATGCGCCCTAACTAGGTTAAGGTAAGGAAACCTCCAAACTCAAATTAGACACCTAGGTCAATTGCGATTACGCTGTCCAAACCTCGGTTTGAGGGAGAAGGTAAGTCAACCCTCAAGTGCTTGGGCCGAGAGCGCTACAATCGTAGCCTATAATGCATTCCTTGGCCTAACGATTGAGTGTGTGGTTTCCAACCAATGTTGCTCCTCCTAACGGTTTGGAATCGCCTTGCCACACACCGATTCATTCGATCCCACGGTTCATGGTAGTT